CTGAGTCTGCATGTATACTGAGACTAGAGAGGTCTGACCCTGCATGTATACTGAGACTAGAGAGGTCTGAACCTGCATGTATACTGAGACTAGAGAGGTCTGAACCTGCATGTATACTGAGACTAGAGGGGTCTGAACCTGCATGTATACTGAGACTAGAGAGGTCTGAGTCTGCATGTATACTGAGACTAGAGAGGTCTGAACCTGCATGTATACTGAGACTAGAGAGGTCTGAACCTGCATGTATACTGAGACTAGAGAGGTCTGAACCTGCATGTATACTGAGACTAGAGGGGTCTGAACCTGCATGTATACTGAGACTAGAGAGGTCTGAACCTGCATGTATACTGAGACTAGAGAGGTCTGAACCTGCATGTATACTGAGACTAGAGAGGTCTGAACCTGCATGTATACTGAGACTAGAGAGGTCTGAACCTGCATGTATACTGAGACTAGAGAGGTCTGAACCTGCATGTATACTGAGACTAGAGAGGTCTGAACCTGCATGTATACTGAGACTAGAGAGGTCTGAGCCTGCATGTATACTGAGACTAGAGAGGTCTGAACCTGCATGTATACTGAGACTAGAGAGGTCTGGGTCTGCATGTATACTGAGACTAGAGAGGTCTGAACCTGCATGTATACTGAGACTAGAGAGGTCTGAACCTGCATGTATACTGAGACTAGAGAGGTCTGAGTCTGCATGTATACTGAGACTAGAGAGGTCTGACCCTGCATGTATACTGAGACTAGAGAGGTCTGAACCTGCATGTATACTGAGACTAGAGAGGTCTGAACCTGCATGTATACTGAGACTAGAGGGGTCTGAACCTGCATGTATACTGAGACTAGAGAGGTCTGAGTCTGCATGTATACTGAGACTAGAGAGGTCTGAACCTGCATGTATACTGAGACTAGAGAGGTCTGAACCTGCATGTATACTGAGACTAGAGAGGTCTGAACCTGCATGTATACTGAGACTAGAGAGGTCTGAGTCTGCATGTATACTGAGACTAGAGAGGTCTGAACCTGCATGTATACTGAGACTAGAGAGGTCTGAGTCTGCATGTATACTGAGACTAGAGAGGTCTGAACCTGCATGTATACTGAGACTAGAGAGGTCTGAACCTGCATGTATACTGAGACTAGAGAGGTCTGGGTCTGCATGTATACTGAGACTAGAGAGGTCTGAGTCTGCATGTATACTGAGACTAGAGAGGTCTGACCTGCATGTATACTGAGACTAGAGAGGTCTGAACCTGCATGTATACTGAGACTAGAGAGGTCTGGGTCTGCATGTATACTGAGACTAGAGAGGTTCTGAGTCTGTATGTATACTGAGACTAGAGGGGTCTGAACCTGCATGTATACTGAGACTAGAGAGGTCTGAGTCTGCATGTATACTGAGACTAGAGGGGTCTGTACCTGCATGTATACTGGGACTAGAGAGGTCTGGGTCTGCATGTATACTGAGACTAGAGGGGTCTGAACCTGCATGTATACTGAGACTAGAGAGGTCTGAGTCTGCATGTATACTGAGACTAGAGAGGTCTGAGTCTGTATGTATACTGAGACTAGAGAGGTCTGAGTCTGCATGTAGACTGAGACTAGAGAGGTCGGTGCATGTAGTGAGAGTCTGAGACTAGAGGTCTGACCTGCATGTAACTGACTGGGTTGAGGACTAGAGAGGTCTGCTGCATGTATACTGAGACTAGAGAGGTCTTTACCTGCATGTATACTGAGACTAGAGGGGTCTGAACCTGCATGTATACTGAGACTAGAGGGGTCTGAACCTGCATGTATACTGAGACTAGAGAGGTCTGAGTCTGCATGTATACTGAGACTAGAGAGGTCTGGGTCTGTATGTATACTGAGACTAGAGAGGTCTGAACCTGCATGTATACTGAGACTAGAGAGGTCTGAACCTGCATGTATACTGAGACTAGAGAGGTCTGAACCTGCATTTCTATACTTTCTTGAGACCAAAATGTTGTATCTCTCTCTTCACTTTGTTGTGGTGCTGGGAACCTCTCGCTCGCTCGCTTCTTGCGATCTGTTTTATTGACTGATGACTGTTTTCTCACATTTCTGAAAGCCCTGAGGGGACTGATTTTAGATTGTATATTTCTGAATAATCTTGTATCCCCAGCTTTATGCCTCCATCTCGTATAAAACCACTTCAACTGCTGTTCTCTCCACGACTTTACTGTACAGTCAGCACTCAGAACAGCTTGATTGACTGAGAGAATAAAGCTTTTCCAGAGATTTGAAAAGTGCTGAATATTAATGCATACACAAAAGCCTTGTCACAGGACCACTCTAAACAGTTGGTGACAGGACACGCAACAAGCACTTCTCACAGCTTTGGACCATGTTTTGGGGATTTGTCCTTGTTTTTCAAAGATATTCGTGAGTGATTTATACATTGTATTGTATATATATTCAACTTTAATCATATGTAATCTTTATTCATACAGCACATGTTGCAAATCAAGGGAAGTGTGGTACCATTAACTGTAACATTACTGCATTCCAATCTTCAAGATGAGTCCCAGATTGGAAGGACCTGATGGTAAATTAAAGCCAATGATTGTTCACCATTTTGGTTCACGAAGTCGGCTCTGACCAAAACCGAACGGGATAATCCTACATTCAGCATAGGTAACATTTTAGATAAAACAATCCAATCCAATCTAATTTTAATCTAACTTTATTAATACAGCACATTTCATAAACACAATTTCCAAAGTGCTGCACAATAAAATACTAAATAAAACAAATCCATAGTAAAACAGTAAAATAATAAAAAAATCAAACATGAAAAGCCGTGTGTGCATATATGTATAAATCTAAAAATAACAATAAAAGGATTAAATAAATAAAAATAAAATGAAAACCAAAGGACCATACAAATCACGCAGTGTTAAAAGCCAGAGCATAAAACTGGTCTGTAATTGAAACTCTTGAATTTCTTCATAGTCCGGTCTTTGCTAAAGCCGTAGGAGCGTGGGAGAAATATCAAAGTGAATGTCAGTTATTTGCCAAACTGTGAAAAGAAAGAATCGTATCTGGGTGAACTCCTCGGGAACTCCTCAGTACTGTAGGGCCAGGTGGGGTCGGTGGAAACAGTGCTATAGATGATCACACACAGCAGACAGCAGCAGGTTTATTTGATTCTAATCCATTAGGACTGTGGCGACGTCTCAGGCACAGTCACTTCCACCGTCTTCACTTTGACTTTGAAAAGCCCCACACAGATCTGCGAACACCAGGGGGCGCTCCATCTGATGTCTGTCCAGCAGAGAGATTATAGAGGAGGCTCTTCTTCGGCTTTGCACATGTTTATTTGATGTGCCAAGGACAAACGTATCGAATCTGCTTTTCCTCAATGGCATTAAAGAGACAGAAGGTATTTTGTATTGAATTTGCTCATATGCAATTCTTTGAGGGAAGAGCTACACGAAAAAACGCAGCAACACCTCTGAAGCTAAGATGGGCATGGCCTGGTGAGTACTGTGATGGGAGACCTCTGAGGACAGCAGTAGGACAGCTGTAAAAAAGTGTAGCTGCAACTGTCTTTGTGTCCTTCAGCAAGACACACATCACCCACATGACCGAGAACAGGGAAAGTCAAATACATCAGAGGCCAAAGAAAACAAAATTGATCCAAGCCGAGGGCAAGACTGGTTCAATGTACTATATATTAAAACATTGAAATGATGCATAAAACATGTTGAACTAAGACCTAACACAGTGTACTGTATTTTATTTAATGATTAAATGAAGAATCCAATATTTTTGTTCGGCTCTGTCTGTCATTTCAAGTGATTTTTTCTTTCTCAACAGGCTCAAAGACAAAAACAAACTTCCATCAACGAGAAAACACACAAATTATCCAATATGTTCTTATGTGTCTCTGTGCGCCGGTTCTAATATTAATCAAATATCATTCTGGGGCCAAGATAGTTCATTCACGGGCCGCATCTTGCCCCCGGGCCTTGACTTTGACACTTATGGCCTAAAATGAGTGTGTGCGTGTGAATGGTTGGTGGTGGGAGGGGCCGATGACATAGACTGGTGGCCTCACTTCTGTCAGTTTGCCCCAGGGCAGCTGTGGCTAAACAAGTAATTTATCACCACCGTGTATGGCATGAAAGAATGAGTGTCCAAAAAGTGTTATTTAAAACCGACATATTACATAGCTCTTTTTTATATCGTTTGAAAGTTATGCACCCTAGCTTTAACTTGGCGCTTGAATCTTACCTCGAGTCTGCCTGGCAACAGCAGCTCAAATCCTGATCCTAAATTGGTTGAAACATGTCTTTATTTGTAAAAAACACATATTTTTTCCTGTTTTTATACCTCCTAATGTGAGCATGAAAGCTGACAGCGGAGGTCTGCTGCGGTGGGGCTGCTCTCGTCACACAGACATCTGCAGAAAGAAGCTGTCAGGATGTTTTCTCCGTGACGTCTGTCTGCTCACCTTCAACAAGCCCAGAGGCGAGAAGAAGGGAACTAATCACATATTTGCAAGTGTGCTAATAATTAGCTGTTTTAGCGCCAGGGTTTAATAAATAACTTTCCAGCAACGCCACATAATGAGTTTGAATTTGTTTTTTAGATTTTGCGTCAGTCGAGTGAAGAAAATCAGATAAAAAAATCAGGCAATTTCTCAGTGATAGACAACAGGTTTTAGCATCACACAGTTATAACTGGGATAAATATTGAATTCTCAACGCACAACTTTGCATCAACATGAGTTTGCCGTTTTTTTCTAATCAGAATAAAAATGAAAAACCTTTATAAGTAAAAGGTGAAACAAAAATAAGCTTCATATAATTGCAAACTGGACCCAACCTGCAAATGGGCCTTGGAGGAGTGACCGGGACATTTTTTTTTCCAATGGAGTGACCAGGGATAGTTGGGGTTTGGCAGTTGGTGGCCTTTCCGTGTTGCTCTTGCACCTGGTCCCTTTGCCCTTTACCCTGGTCCCTGCTCGTTCACTTGGTCCCTCGTTCTTTCCCCTGGTCCCTCGTTCTTACCCATGGTCCCTCGTTCTTACCCATGGTCCCTCGTTCTTTCCCCTGGTCCCTCGTTCTTTCCCCTGGTCCCTCGTTCTTTACCTGGTTCCTCGTTCTTTCCCTGGTCCCTCGTTCTTTCCCCTGGTCCCTCGTTCTTTTCCCTGGTCCCTCGTTCTTTTCCCTGGTCCCTCGTTCTTTCCCCTGGTCCCTCGTTCTTTTCCCTGGTCCCTCGTTCTTTCCCCTGGTCCCTCGTTCTTTCCCTGGTCCCTCGTTCTTTCCCCTGGTCCCTCGTTCTTCCCTGGTCCCTCGTTCTTTCCCTGGTCCCTCGTTCTTTCCCTGGTCCCTCGTTCTTTCCCTGGTCCCTCGTTCTTTCCCTGGTCCCTCGTTCTTTCCCTGGTCCCTGTCGGTCCCTCGTTCTTTCCCTGGTCCCTCGTTCTTTCCCTGGTCCCTCGTTCTTTCCCCTGGTCCCTCGTTCTTTCCCATGGTCCCTCGTTCTTTCCCCGGTCCCTCGTTCTTTCCCCTGGTCCCTCGTTCTTACCCATGGTCCCTCGTTCTTACCCATGGTCCCTCGTTCTTTCCCCTGGTCCCTCGTTCTTTCCCCTGGTCCCTCGTTCTTTACCTGGTTCCTCGTTCTTTCCCTGGTCCCTCGTTCTTTCCCCTGGTCCCTCGTTCTTTTCCCTGGTCCCTCGTTCTTTTCCCTGGTCCCTCGTTCTTTCCCCTGGTCCCTCGTTCTTTTCCCTGGTCCCTCGTTCTTTCCCCTGGTCCCTCGTTCTTTCCCTGGTCCCTCGTTCTTTCCCCTGGTCCCTCGTTCTTTCCCTGGTCCCTCGTTCTTTCCCTGGTCCCTCGTTCTTTCCCCTGGTCCCTCGTTCTTTCCCTGGTCCCTCGTTCTTTCCCTGGTCCCTCGTTCTTTCCCTGGTCCCTCGTTCTTTCCCTGGTCCCTCGTTCTTTCCCTGGTCCCTCGTTCTTTCCCATGGTCCCTCGTTCTTTCCCGGTCCCTCGTTCTTTCCCTGGTCCCTCGTTCTTACCCATGGTCCCTCGTTCTTTCCCTGGTCCCTCGTTCTTTCCCTGGTCCCTCGTTCTTACCCATGGTCCCTCGTTCTTTCCCTGGTCCCTCGTTCTTTCCCTGGTCCCTCGTTCTTACCCATGGTCCCTCGTTCTTTCCCTCGTTCCCCTGGTCCCTCGTTCTTTCCCTGGTCCCTCTTTCCCTGGTCCCTCTTTCCCCTGGTCCCTCGTTCTTTCCCCTGGTCCCTCGTTCTTTCCCCTGGTCCCTCGTTCTTTCCCCTGGTCCCTCGTTCTTTCCCTGGTCCCTCGTTCTTACCCATGGTCCCTCGTTCTTTCCCCTGGTCCCTCGTTCTTTCCCCTGGTCCCTCGTTCTTACCCATGGTCCCTCGTTCTTTCCCCTGGTCCCTCGTTCTTTCCCCTGGTCCCTCGTTCTTACCCATGGTCCCTCGTTCTTTCCCTGGTCCCTCGTTCTTTCCCCTGGTCCCTCGTTCTTACCCATGGTCCCTCGTTCTTTCCCCTGGTCCCTGGTCCGTTCTTTCCCCTGGTCCCTCGTTCTTACCCATGGTCCCTCGTTCTTACCCATGGTCCCTCGTTCTTTCCCCTGGTCCCTCGTTCTTTCCCCTGGTCCCTCGTTCTTCCCCATGGTCCCTCGTTCTTTCCCTGGTCCCTCGTTCTTTCCCCTGGTCCCTCGTTTTCCCTGGTCCCTCGTTCTTCCCTGGTCCCTCGTTCTTTCCCCTGGTCCCTCGTTCTTTCCCTGGTCCCTCGTTCTTTCCCTGGTCCCTCGTTCTTTCCCTGGTCCCTCGTTCTTTCCCTGGTCCCTCGTTCTTTCCCTGGTCCCTCGTTCTTCCCTGGTCCCTCGTTCTTTCCCTGGTCCCTCGTTCTTACCCATGGTCCCTCGTTCTTTCCCCTGGTCCCTCGTTCTTTCCCCTGGTCCCTCGTTCTTACCCATGGTCCCTCGTTCTTTCCCATGGTCCCTCTTTCCCCTGGTCCCTCGTTCTTTCCCTGGTCCCTCGTTCTTACCCATGGTCCCTCGTTCTTACCCATGGTCCCTCGTTCTTTCCCCTGGTCCCTCTTCTTTCCCTGGTCCCTCGTTCTTTCCCTGGTCCCTGCCTGTTCTTTCCCCTGGTCCCTCGTTCTTTTCCTGGTCCCTCGTTCTTTCCCCTGGTCCCTCGTTCTTTCCCCTGGTCCCTCGTTCTTTCCCCTGTTCTTCTGGTCCCGTCTTCCGTCTCTCTTCCTGTCCCTCGTTCTTTCCCTGGTCCCTCGTTCTTACCCATGGTCCCTCGTTCTTTCCCTGGTCCCTCGTTCTTTCCCCTGGTCCCTAGTTCTTACCCATGGTCCCTCGTTCTTTCCCCTGGTCCCTCGTTCTTTCCCCTGGTCCCTCGTTCTTACCCATGGTCCCTCGTTCTTACCCATGGTCCCTCGTTCTTTCCCCTGGTCCCTCGTTCTTTCCCCTGGTCCCTCGTTCTTACCCATGGTCCCTCGTTCTTACCCATGGTCCCTCGTTCTTTCCCCTGGTCCCTCGTTCTTTCCCCTGGTCCCTCGTTCTTTCCCCTGGTCCCTCGTTCTTTCCCCTGGTCCCTCGTTCTTTCCCTGGTTCCTCGTTCTTACCCATGGTCCCTCGTTCTTTCCCCTGGTCCCTCGTTCTTTCCCCTGGTCCCTCGTTCTTTCCCTGGTCCCTCGTTCTTTCCCTGGTCCCTCGTTCTTTCCCCTGGTCCCTCGTTCTTACCCATGGTCCCTCGTTCTTTCCCCTGGTCCCTCGTTCTTTCCCCTGGTCCCTCGTTATTACCCATGGTCCCTCGTTCTTACCCATGGTCCCTCGTTCTTACCCATGGTCCCTCGTTCTTTCCCCTGGTCCCTCGTTCTTTCCCCTGGTCCCTCGTTCTTATCCCTGCTCCCTCGTTCTTTCCCTGGTCCCTCGTTCTTTCCCCTGGTCCCTCGTTCTTACCCCTGGTCCCTCGTTCTTACCCCTGGTCCCTCGTTCTTACCCCTGGTCCCTCGTTCTTATCCCTGGTCCCTCGTTCTTTCCCCTGGTCCCTCGTTCTTTCCCTGGTCCCTCGTTCTTTCCCCTGGTCCCTCGTTCTTTCCCCTGGTCCCTCGTTCTTTCCCCTGGTCCCTCGTTCTTTCCCCTGGTCCCTCGTTTCTTTCCCTAGTCCCTCGTTCTTTCCCTGGTCCCTCGTTCTTTCCCCTGGTCCCTCGTTCTTACCCATGGTCCCTCGTTCTTTCCCCTGGTCCCTCGTTCTTTCCCCTGGTCCCTCGTTCTTTCCCTGGTCCCTCGTTCTTTCCCTGGTCCCTGGTTCTTTCCCCTGGTCCCTCGTTCTTTTCCTGGTCCCTCGTTCTTTCCCCTGGTCCCTCGTTCTTACCCATGGTCCCTCGTTCTTTCCCTGGTCCCTCGTTCTTTCCCCTGGTCCCTCGTTCTTACCCATGGTCCCTCGTTCTTTCCCCTGGTCCCTCGTTCTTTCCCTGGTCCCTCGTTCTTTCCCTGGTCCCTGGTTCTTTCCCCTGGTCCCTCGTTCTTTCCCTGGTCCCTCGTTCCTTTCCTGGTCCCTCGTTCTTTCCCCTGGTCCCTCGTTCTTTCCCTGGTCCCTCGTTCTTTCCCCTGGTCACTCGTTCTTACCCATGGTCCCTCGTTCTTTCCCCTGGTCCCTCGTTCTTTTCCTGGTCCCTCGTTCTTTACCCTGGTCCCTCGTTATTTCCCCTGGTCCCTTGTTCTTTCCCATGGTCCCTCGTTATTTCCCCTGGTCCCAAGTTCTTTCCCCTGGTCCCTTGTTCTTACCCATGGTCCCTCGTTCTTTCCCTGGTCCCTCGTTCTTTCCCCTGGTCCCTCGTTCTTACCCATGGTCCCTCGTTCTTTCCCCTGGTCCCTCGTTCTTTCCCCTGGTCCCTCGTTCTTTCCCTGGTCCCTCGTTCCTTTCCTGGTCCCTCGTTCTTTCCCCTGGTCCCTCGTTCTTTCCCTGGTCCCTCGTTCCTTTCCTGGTCCCTCGTTCTTTCCCCTGGTCCCTCGTTCTTACCCATGGTCCCTCGTTCTTTCCCCTGGTCCCTCGTTCTTTTCCTGGTCCCTCGTTCTTTACCCAGGTCCCTCGTTATTTCCCCTGGTCCCTTGTTCTTTCCCATGGTCCCTCGTTATTTCCCCTGGTCCCTTGTTCTTTCCCATGGTCCCTCGTTATTTCCCCTGGTCCCTTGTTCTTTCCCATGGTCCCTCGTTATTTCCCCTGGTCCCTTGTTCTTTCCCATGGTCCCTCGTTCTTTCCCCTGGTCCCTCGTTCTTTCCCATGGTCCCTCGTTATTTCCCCTGGTCCCTTGTTCTTTCCCATGGTCCCTCGTTATTTCCCCTGGTCCCTCGTTCTTTCCCCTGGTCCCTCGTTCTTACCCATGGTCCCTCGTTCTTACCCATGGTCCCTCGTTCTTTTCCTGGTCCCTCGTTCTTACCCATGGTCCCTCGTTCTTTTCCTGGTCCCTCGTTCTTACCCATGGTCTGGAGGTCGAATTGAAGAACTCAGTTGAATTTTATTGGAAATTCAACTCGAGTTATCCCCCAAAAAAACATAAGTTACAATTCCAAACCATGTGTTTTTTTGTTCCTTTTTATTCGTCTTTAAAACATCTTATTATAACTGAAAAACCAAATGTTGTGAATGACCTCCTGTTTTAGTCCAAACACAGACTGTGATGTTACTTATCCTCTAAATCAGTGATTGTGATCCCTACTTTCTCTACTTTCTGCATTGTTTTTTTGTCATTGAGCAGAAGAGTCGAGTATTGCGGCTGTGTACACAGCTGCAGAGTCGCGGCTGCGTACACAGCTGCAGAGTCGCGGCTGCATACACAGCTGCAGAGTCGCGGCTGCATACACAGCTGCAGAGTCGCGGCTGCGTACACAGCTGCAGAGTCGCGGCTGCGTACACAGCTGCAGGGTCGCGGCTGCGTACACAGCTGCAGAGTCGTGGCTGCGTACACAGCTGCAGAGTCGCGGCTGCGTACACAGCTGCAGAGTCGTGGCTGCGTACACAGCTGCAGAGTCGCGGCTGCGTACACAGCTGCAGGGTCGCGGCTGCGTACACAGCTGCAGAGTCGTGGCTGCGTACACAGCTGCAGAGTCGCGGCTGCGTACACAGCTGCATGGTCGCGGCTGCGTACACAGCTGCAGGTTCGCGGCTGCTGCTGTCTCTGTGAGGTCTGTGTTGAAGTGTAGATGTGTTCACGGACACAACATGATCAGACCGATGGGTTGTGTTTGTGCGTTTACTTTGTTGTAGTTCAGTTGTGTTGATTCAGCCGATACTGATGCTCGCGTGTGTGTTAGCAGAGTGTGGTGCGTTCATGGGTAGTCCGTACAAACAGTGTTGATAAACATTACACACAGTACAGGCCAGAGAACTGTAGAGCAGTAACATCCACATGTGTTTGTCCTCATGGTCTCTGCGGCTGCTGTGGTCAGACTTTATGACCTGCGTGAAGCCGAGAGACTCGTGAGATGTCAGTGAAAATATAGTCATTTACAGACATTGCTTATCCCGTGTGAATGCACTGCAAGATCTCAGACGTCCTCCGCGATTATCACAAAGTACCAGTTTATCCTCAGGTTATACTAATCCCATGAGAATAGGGCTTAATGAACCGGTCTCGGATCAAGATCATTTCACAAACGCAATCGCAAAGAAATAAACGGCAGCTACAAAAACGTACGTGAGTGTATAAAGAGTAATTACGCCCCTAAAACTTCCAAAAGCCGTCAAATTGACTGCTCTAAGTTCTTGTTTTAAAGAACTTGAACAAAGTAGTAGTTTATAATCCGGTAATTACTGTATTATTAATGTTATGTTGTGACAATTGAGACCCAGTTATGTGAATTCTAAATGACTTCCTCTTTCCTCTGTTTGGAAAAGTAACATATCATTTGAGTCATTCTTTTCACATCAACATCGCAGCGCAGTAAATATATGTATTCGTTATTTTGCAAAGACACATTCCGCTGAATCACACAGTATAGGCTTATGCTAAGGCTCTATGCATTTCTTATCAGTCCAAACGCAGCAGAGAGAAGAAACTGGACTCAGAATTTCACTTTCATCCGGAAAGTGCCTTTTTTTGTGTTTAATTTAGAGTTAATTAAGAGAATAAAAGCGGTTACAGACGGACCCAGTTTCTCTTGACTCTGGTCCAGCGTTCTGCAGCCACTTCTGACACAGCAATTAAATCAGGACACAGCTTTGGCCGCAAGAATCGAGATTTAATTAGAACTCTGTTAAATCCATTGTACAAAAGAAATTGAAATTAGTGCTGGGAAAATAATTTGGATTGATTATTCCTCCAAGTTCTTCTGAAAATGTGTTTATCGATCATGCTTATTCCAGCAGCGGCAGGATTATTAGCCTCCTCTTTCCTGGTTTAAACACAAGCCTAAAAAGACCAAGATATTTTCATGTGTTTTTCAACCTTCCTTTAGTAGAAAAACTAGAGAAAAGAACGACTATGGCCCAAGGTGTTGAGATGAACAACGACCCAGAGCTGTGTTTATCTCCAAACAGGAAAAGTTCTCTTCCAAAACATAATATTAAAAAACTTGGATTCGATTCCGTCATGTTGGCCGCGTACTTAGAGTGTTTTAGTGATTCTCCAAGATGTAAGAACTAAACGTACAAACACGTCTCTAATGAACAGGTCAGACTTCCATCTGTTCTCACTTTTGTTCAATCTAAGTGGAAATATAGCAATTAATGACGCTGGGAACAGGCAAATATGACTCCTCAGACTGTGACATTATGGATATGAAAAGTTTTTGTTTGCGTTTTAAAGGAGAAGTTTGTAAAAATGTAGCCAAATGTGGATAAACTGAAATAAGACCTGAGTTAGTTCCAGAAATGTTTGGACCATGTTTGTATTTGTCGTCACCGTCTTGACAGGAGCATTGACCGTATAGAGATGGACAATGCTAACACGCTAGCTCAATGCTGCCCAATAGGGAAGTGCTCTGAGACGACTGCTGCTGTGATCTAGGGCCTTACAAGTATACATTTGTATGTATGGTATTACCCAGTGATGTCTGCCCTGCCCTAAAGTACCTGTGTCTCTGTGTGTCTATATGTACCTGTGTCTCTGTGTCTATATGTACCTGTGTCTATATGTACCTGTGTCTCTGTGTCTATATGTACCTGTGTCTCTGTGTCTATATGTAACTGTGTCTCTGTGTGTCTATATGTACCTGTGTCCCTCTGTGTCTATATGTACCTGTGTCTCTCTGTGTCTATATGTACCTGTGTCTCTCTGTGTCTATATGTACCTGTGTATCTGTGTCCATATGTACCTGTGTCTGTGTGTCTATATGTACCTGTGTCTCTGTGTCTATATGTACCTGTGTCTCTGTGTGTCTATATGTACCTGTGTCTCTGTGTCTATACGTACCTGTGTCTCTGTGTCTAAATGTACCTGTGTCTCTGTGTCTATACGTACCTGTGTCTCTGTGTCTATATGTACCTGTGTCTCTGTGTCTATATGTACCTGTGTCTCTGTGTCTATATGTACCTGTGTCTCTCTGTGTCTATATGTACCTGTGTCTCTGTGTCTATATGTACCTGTGTCTCTATATGTACCTGTGTCTCTGTGTCTATATGTACCTGTGTCTCTGTGTGTCTATATGTACCTGTGTCTCTGTGTCTATATGTACCTGTGTCTCTGTGTCTATATGTACCTGTGTCTCTGTGTCTATATGTACCTGTGTCTCTGTGTCTATATATACCTGTGTCTCTCTGTGTCTATATGTACCTGTGTCTCTCTGTGTCTATATGTACCTGTGTCTCTCTGTGTGTCTATATGTACCTGTGTCTCTCTGTGTCTATATGTACCTGTGTCTCTGTGTCTATATGTACCTGTGTCTCTGTGTCTATATCTACCTGTGTCTTTATGTACCTGTTTTTCTCTGCGTCTATATGTACCTGTGTCTCTGTGTCTATATGTACCTGTGTCTCTGTGTCTATATGTACCTGTGTCTCTGTGTCTATATGTACCTGTGTCTCTCTGTGTCTATATGTACCTGTGTCTCTGTGTCTATATGTACCTGTGTCTCTGTGTCTATATGTACCTATGTTTCCGTGTGTCTATATGTACCTGTGTCTCTGTGTCTATATGTACCTGTGTCTCTCTGTGTCTATATGTACCTGTGTCTCTGTGTCCATATTTACCTGTGTCTCTGTGTCTATATGTACCTGTGTCTCTGTGTCTATATGTACCTGTGTCTCTCTGTGTCTATATGTACCTGTGTCTCTGTGTCTATATGTACCTGTGTCTCTGTGTCTATATGTACCTATGTCTCTGTGTGTCTATATGTACCTGTGTCCCTCTGTGTCTATATGTACCTGTGTCTCTCTGTGTCTATATGTACCTGTGTCTCTCTGTGTCTATATGTACCTGTGTCTCTCTGTGCTATATGTACCTGTGTCTCTGTGTCTATATGTACCTGTGTCTCTGTGTCTATATGTACCTGTGTCTCTGTGTCTATATGTACCTGTGTCTCTGTGTCTATATGTACCTGTGTCTCTGTGTGTATATGTACCTGTGTCTCTGTGTCTATATGTACCTGTGTCTCTGTGTCTATATGTACCTATGTCTCTGTGTGTCTATATGTACCTGTGTCTCTGTGTGTCTATATGTACCTGTGTCTCTCTGTGTGTATATGTACCTGTGTCTCTGTGTGTCTATATGTACCTGTGTCTCTCTGTGTCTATATGTACCTGTGTCTCTCTGTGTCTATATGTACCTCTGTCTCTCTGTGTGTATATGTACCTGTGTCTCTCTGTGTGTCTATATGTACCTGTGTCTCTCTGTGTCTATATGTACCTGTGTCTCTCTGTGTCTATATGTACCTCTGTCTCTCTGTGTGTATATGTACCTGTGTCTCTCTGTGTGTCTATATGTACCTGTGTCTCTGTGTCTATATGTACCTGTGTCTCTCTGTGTCTATATGTACCTGTGTCTCTCTGTGTCTATATGAACCTGTGTCTCTCTGTGTGTCTATATGTACCTGTGTCTCTGTGTCTATATGTACCTGTGTCTCTCTGTGTCTATATGTACCTGTGTCTCTCTGTGTCTATATGTACCTGTGTCTCTCTGTGTCTATATGTACCTGTGTCTCTGTGTCTATATGTACCTGTGTCTCTCTGTGTCTATATGTACCTGTGTCTATATCTAATTCGTTTTAGAACCGGCCGCACAGAGCCATAAGAAAATATTGGATTATTATTTTAATCATTTAATAAACTACACTGTGGTAGGTCTTGGTTCAAAGGTATTATGGATCATTTTAATATTTTTTAATAATCATTGAACCAAATGTGTTTGTTGTTGATGTATTCGACCCTGATCAAGTGATCGCAAGATGGCTCCTAAAGGATTCAGTTAAAGTGATTGTCTGGAGTTTGTCAGAAAGAGAGACAGAGAGGTGCTTGATTTGAAAAAAACGACGCAAGCTCCTCCCCCTTCCTTTCTGATTGGTCTACACCTACGTTTCCGTAACACTTTGAAATGTTAATCAGAGAACACATTATACATATACATTATTAATACACATGCACGGAGGTTTTCAGAATTATGTGTGAACGTTTTAATAAAAAAAAAGTTTTTATGCACAAAAAAAGCGATCGCGGCAAACCAGGAAGTGCTATTATCATGAATTGCACATTACAGGACACATCTGCAGAGGATCTGATTATGGATATAGGTTCAGAATATACATAAGTACCTCAGCGCGGATGTTCAGAATTCTTTGTTCAGTTTTCATGTAGTTCCAGAGCCTAATAGAGGCTCCGCGAAAACAAACAACTGAGCATGTGCGCAGCTGCGAGCATCAGCGCCGATGATTGACAGCCCTTGGCATGACTCGATTGGTTAACCTCGACGGCACCGTGGATTCTGAACTATAGCTAAGAGCAGGGAAGGCGGGACTTGCCCATAATATTAGAATTAATAAAATGACTTACTTTATATCAACATTTAAGGCCAGGCGGTCAATTTAGCACATTTCCTAAAATTTGTAATTAATTTAGAGTTACAGACTATCACTTTAAACACATACGATCAAGTGCAGCGGCCAAACCCTTCTTGTATCAATTGTGAACGAACACAATCA